TCCAACTATGCGCGAACGAAAAAATCGAGTCAACGCCCTAGCTCAAGCGTGCATGCTACCACATAAGCGTTTCCAGACAGCTTGTTTAAGACTGAAGTATTGTTGCAGATATTTAGAGTATGGGCTCTTGTAGACCACAGTTCTTGCTTTATAAGGGGAGTTCTCGATAACAGAAGTCAAAGATCGTTCATTAGGCAAAATATATCTCGAAAACTAAGTTTGCCGATACTGAAGATGCCCCGCAGGGGCGTCTGTGCAAGCAGGCGTTTGGTGTGTAGCGACACCACGGACCCGAGCTGATGTAGTGGTTTGGACTCCCTCCCACGCCTAGCAAAGCGTGGCTTTGCTGTGTCCGGGGAAAAGGGGATCCTGGGGGTTGAGTCGACGCCGGGTGATTGGACCTTTAAGGCCCCCCGGCAGAGTCAACACACCCCTTTGGCCCCGGCTTCACGTAGATGGCACCCCTGGGCTGACCCACCCAGGGGAAATCAGCAGTCGCCTTTTCCTATCTCTCTCTCTACATCTTCGACTTTATCTCTCACTTTTTATCTGTCCTGTCTACTACTCTCTTCTGTTTACTTCCAAACTTCCTGGCGGCTAGGGTTAACCTTGTGCATATAGCCTACCTTGGTCTAGGCACATTGTGTTATAGTAGCGTTTTACGGCTGGCGTTTGCAGGTTTTAGCATCCGCAATCTTGTAGCGTCTCCTCGTCGGGCTCCATGGTGGGTGGCCGCCAATGCTTCTAAAGAAAATTAAACAGGCATGCATAGAGCTTTTTTCTTGTTAGGTGATCGTACCGCCTTGAAGCGCGTACGCACCGAAGACTGGCTTTTTCAACTGATCGAATGAAAATTTCCCTCATTTTCATGTTATACATAGTGAGAAAAGTGGCAAGCGAGCCAGAACTGTATCCCCCTTTGTATTAGCAAGGTGTCTTACAGAAATTCTTGGGGCCAGGGTACAAAGTTACCGAAACGGCCAGTGCAGACCTCCTCCTCGAAGTTCGAGAAAAAGAACAGTTTGAGAAGCTACAGAATCTTTCAACTTTTGGTGACACTCGGATCACTGTAACACCACACAGATTAATGAACACAACTCGTGGAGTGGTATCTGACACTGATTTACTTGGCCTGACCGTGTCAATAATTATACCAATAATGGGCTGGAGAACATTCGGCAAGCACTCTCAAATTATGACAGGTAAATTGCCACTATCCCTTAAGAGGAAGGTATATAACAGCTGTATCTTGCCGGTACATAGCTACAGAGCAGAAACCTGGAGACTTACAAAGAGGGTTCAGCTTAAATTGAGGACGACGCAGCGAGCAATGGAAAGAAAAATGGTAGGTGTAACCTTAAGAGACAAGAAGAGAGCAGAGTGGATTAGGGGACAAACGGGGGTTAAGGATATCATAGTTAAAATCAAGAAGAGGAAATGGACATGGGCCGGGCATGTAGCGCGTAGACAGGACAACCGCTGGTCATTAAGGGTAACTAACTGGATTCCCAGAGAAGGGAAGCGGGTTAGGGGGAGACAGAAGGTTAGGTGGGCAAATGAGATTAAGAAGTTTGCGGGTATAAATTGGCAGCAGCAAGCACAGGATCGGGTTAACTGGCGGAACATGGGAGAGGCCTTTGTCCTGCAGTGGACGTAGTCAGGCTGGTGATGATGATAACTTCAAATCTTTTTTTTTTTTGTGGTGTGAACGGGATGTATTTGAATATGTTTTTTTTTTCATCAGTAAAGCTCTCACAGAGAACTATTGCTGTTTCTGAACATGGCACATTCTTTTATATGGTAATTCTTCCATGGAGTGGCAATATTTTAGTGTGCTAGAAATGCTTCGTGAGCAAAATAAAGGAGTAGTGAGCTGTAGCATAAAGACTAATGTACGCAGCAATGTCCACGGGAGGTGTTGCAGATGATGATGTAGCAAATAAGGAGGTCGACATTGTTTGAAGTACAAATATTAGATAGAAAGAAGCCTTGGAGAAGAAAAATAGTGATCTATATGGCTTATCAGATAATGAAAGAAACAAGAGAATTGTGCTCTTGTGAAAGAGCTTGAATCAGAAGAACAAAAACTGATGAAAGACACTCTATGCTTCGTGGTCTCTATACTACAGCAACAGATGGGATCCTTGAAATAGGAAAAAAATTTCTGGTGCAAATAAGCCAGCTTTTCTCTTTGAGATGCGCATTTATTGTATTTTATTAGTGTATTTCTTGTGAAGAATGATTTCAGCCTAGAGAACTTTATAAAGCCACATGGTCTGCACTTTACGCGAGTGCTGCATTTTTTTTTCTATTTGGAAGTTTTCTTACTGAGCTTACTGACCATGGAATCTGCTTAGAATCATCTTGGAAAACCTGTAAAAGTCAGGAAATCTATATATATATATATATATATATATATATATATATATATATATATATATATATATATATATATATATATATATATATATATTAATTAAATTGGTTTACGCTTGTAGGGGCTTTATATTGTTTTATCATAATTATGATTTATATTAGTCTGTTGGAAAACCTTCACTTGTGTCTCACATGTTTCAACTATAGTAACGGTTCTATTCTGTGGCCATAATGGAAGGCAAGGCTAGGTTCTAAGGAGCTTGGGCCGTGAACGGGGTGTGTAAATATATTTTAGGACAGAGCTGGTGACAATGAAGTGTGCTTGATTGGACTTGTGTTAATGTTTTTTTTTGTCCCCAGAAAGATAATGTGGAGATATGAAGGGAAATTTCAGTGCAAGCTAACACCCTGCTAATCAGTCTAGTGGCTTGTCCTACATGGTGTAGAAGCAGATTAACAGGCGGCCTTTTTAGAAGTTCTTAGTGTGGCTCTGTATTGATTGGGCACCTGAAGTTCGTCATTGATATAGTTTGGATATACATTTAGCATCGACAATGTAGGGATCAAAGCTTGAATTTCAAGTTAGCTCAACCTGCCTGAGATTGCCTTCAAGCTCTATCTCCCCAAAATATGAGCACTGCAATACCGCCAACATTGCAGTCATGCCAGAATATTCTGAGTTCTTGCATGCAACCATTGCTGCAGGTTGTCTCACCTATATCTTCACCTGTGTTTACAGTTTGACCTTTCAACTCTTTGATCTCTAGTTCTTGTATTGTTGATTTTATGCTGTTTGTAATAAGTTGAACCACTTTATAACAGACACTGATAAAAGACAAATGCATATAAGAGATACCAGTGTGTCTACAGTAAAATAAAATACATGCGAGGTACCGTGCCATAACGGACATCACATATAGGAGACAAGAATTGCTGTCCAGAGCATGCCTCTTATAAAGAGGTTTAATTGTACTTCGCTTTTGTAAGCATATTCATCAAATTTTTCCGGTATGTTTTAGGCGATGTACTTCTGAGAATTTTGGTTCCTCAATAAAGCTACATTAAAAGTTGTTTTGATTTTGCACACACGTCTCCGACCTCTTTTATGTGTCTACTTGTGTATAAGGTCAAATGACCTGCTGTCATTCCCATCGCCGACTTCGCACTGGCGACTCCAAAGTGGTAGCTTCAACAGTAATGAAGAAAATTATTGCTATTCAGTGCTCACTGTGTTGTCACTTTGCCTGTATTGTGTGTGCACTCTTTCTTGTCAGATTCTGCAACACCAACCAGCCCAACATCATCGTGTGCTACATGTATGAAGCCTTTTGTTACTGAAGAATGCTGTCATGCACCTAATACAAACAGCCATGCACCTAATATGGTGCATATCTGTTCAAGGAAGGCTGGTTACTACACCTGCCATTATTTTCAATCTTGAGGGTATTTTCGGGGGCTCTTCATCATTACAACATGGCAACATGAAAAAGTAGCATTTCTTAGCACTCTAAAGCACACTTTATTTTGAAACAACCAGCTAATGCAACCATTTCAAAAACATTAGTTTTGCTTTAACAACAGAGACGAACCTGAAAGTAAACTTACAAAAACTCTATTTTCTGCGGAGCAGTACAAGGAATGCTGTGCACATCACCATAGTCAACCAAAAAGATGTTGGCCTGGAAAGTACACGAAAGACATGCATACAAAACCATCCTTGTGCTTTTTGTTTACTTTTACTGTAAAACATTGCAGTCTTGCCCAAACAATAAGGTAATCAGAACAGAGCTGTCATGTTTAAACTACAGTGCGAAAAAAACATGCAAGACTAAACATTTGACAGATGTCTGTCTGATTCGTTAGGTAAACTGAAAAAGCTATTTTAACTCCAACCAAGGTAAAGTATGTGAAAATACGTAACATCTCAAAGTTTTGAAACCGACTTGGTTCTTTCCACAACGAGGACTGTAGAGATGTTACGGCGGTGTCACAATGGCAAACCTCATCATGGAGCACAAAGAAAGGAAAGCACTCAACTCCTTGCCGTGACCTAAGCTCTTTATTCATTGGACAATTTCTATTGTGTCATGAACACATCTGAAATTTAAAACGTTGGGCAGCACTTGAATTTCGTGCACCCAGCCATACAATTGACGGCCGAGTGTAAAATCTGCCGCAGCCTACCCTTACCCAACGTCCAGGTAGCAAGAAAGCGCAACGGCTTAGAGTTCTCTATCCACAGAGAAGGCCAACGCACACTGGCCGTTAACTTTAATACAATTTATCTTATCCCGCCAGCCACAAGGCCTCAGTTGTGACCACATCACTCCAGATAGAGAGCCAAGAACATATGTTTCAATGACACGGAGCATACGAAAGAAGAGGCTCACCTAATTGTGATCCTCAGAAAAAATTAATGCCCGAAAAACTTCATACAATCTGTCATTCACTGCGCAGAGCAACAGAGGCTACGCAAACCTCAATCAGCATTAATTGGCAGCTCTCCGTCCTATGCATACCAGGAACCAGCGAAAGGTTGGCCCAGATCTTCAAAAAAAGGGAAGGGGGGGGGGGGGGTGCGCATCACGTACGTGCCTTCATACATGCTAGGCCTCCTCCTCCCCACCCGCAAGACAGGTCAAAAATAGACAGGACCCCCAGTATACTTTACAAAACCCTGTGCGCCGAGTGCCCTTCTTGGTATTTTGGCGAAACAAGAAACATGCCAGAATGACTCAAACAACACGCCAATGATGTCCGGAAGCTGAAGAATAGAGCGAAGTGCCGTCACCAAGCATTGTGAGACGTTTGACAAGCCAGATAAATTTCAACCATATGACCATCCTAGAAAGTGAGACTAACTGGAGCAGAAGGTGAAGTTCTTAAAAATTCGCAGAATTAGGGGTGAACGAGCTGACTGTGATTGCAGGCGGCAAACTTCCATTTATGTTTTAAAGGGTGGCTTGGAGTAGCCCATTCATGTTGGGAGGATTATAAGGGCGACCGGAAAGGCACACAAGGCTATTCTTAGAGCGCTGCAGGACAGTTCGCTATTGTACGATTGCGTGGAAGCTGTTGGCAGAGGTACTCAAATTTTTCGCTTTCCTTTTTTCTTTTCAAGAATTTCGTGTTTCATTACCTTTCGACACTGGTACCTAGAAGCCATTTTCATTGTTGTAAATGAATGATGTTGTGTAGGGGCATTGTAGCAAGCAGGTTATTTTACCATAAAAACAAGCAGAAGTTGACCATGTGCCAGCATTTCATTGTTATAACCAATATATTGTTAAAACTGGTATCATTATAGGCCTGTATATCTGTGGTGTCAACGGCTTGAAATAGGTGCCTATTCTTGATTACCGAAAAGAAAAAGCTCAAGCAAGCGCATCCTGTGTGCCTGCATTGCAAAAAATAAGCTCGTTTCTGACTCTTCGAATAATTTACGACGTCACAGATGTATCACCAACTGTCATTGAGAAAAAACACTGACAACAAGTTAAACCTTGAATTATGATTTTTTGTGCTACAAGATTCCTTTGTTGACATGTTTCTGCTACTTTAATTTATAGCTCTAGGTCAGCTTAGACCTAGAGCTATAAATTACAACCCTATGTGGCTGACTATAACCCATAGGCAAAACAATGACCCATTACAAAGAAGCTGCCCATGCATACTCTACAACATGCACAACTTCTGACTTTTCAATAATTTGTAGCCAGTTCGTTGGTATAGACTCCTTGTTCCACCCCTCGTACATCTTGGACACAGCAGGGCTACCTCGAGAAACCTTGGCTCTTCTCTCACACTAACTGGAATAGAGACTGGAAGTTCGCACATCAACAAAAAGGCACTACCTGAAAAATTGTGCTCAATACACATGAACTGTAAAGATATTTCTGCCACAATCACAACAAAAGAATATTCCAGAAACGTGATGCAAACCACAATCCGCGTTGTCTTTCGTGTTGTCACTGCCCATAATAAGTGAGGACGTTTGTGGTGTGTGTACCATTATTTCATGAACATTTGGAGTTTCTGTAAATGGCACCAGTAAAATGGCAGCTCAATCAGTTGGCATTTTTCCCTTTGGTGTAATAAGCTATTATATATCAGCTTAGAAACAATCGAGCAAAGACGAAAAGAACAAAGTGGCGTGGTCAAGGCCACTGAGCTCGTGACCAAGCTACTGCATTCAGCGTTCTGAAAATGCAATAACGGGACTTTATAATACTTGCGACGAAGGAATGTGACCCTGCAAAGCAGGTTCACCCTGAATGACAACACACAACATCCAAAGGACTTCCGAAAAAGATCCCAATGTCCCACATTTCAACAGGGTGGGTTTTTAGATGTCCTTTGGACGTGTGTGTAGGGGATATCCCAACAGGGTAGTTATTAAAATGTCCTTTCTATCTGCACAGGGATCATTCCTAAAGCATTCGCTGTGGGCTCTGTTTGGGAGTTCAAGTTAGCGGTGAATTCACTGTGTTGAAAATTGGCCATCTATCGGAAACTACGATTCTAACGGAGTTCACAGTTCGTGCGTGTGCACAATTGTGTATTTTCATACACACACACACACAAAAAAATAAACTTTGTATCATGCTTTTTGTGAAATGGTTTATTTTTTTTTTGCTATAGCTGTCGCACTGTCGTTTCCCTGGAAATAAAGAAACTCGTGGCAGGGCAGCACTAACTTTTGTGATTCTAGCTCGCTGCACAGCGCAGCCATTGCCATCACCATGATCTTACCGAGAGGCGCAATCAAGGTGATAGTGACGTACTATAACTTTTCTTTTTCCAAACAAAGTGAACACACTTTTATTTCAAGTGTTAAAGTGTGCATTAGGTTTTTTGTTTTGTGTTTGGGCTATTTCGGGCTGAGAAGGCTAGGCGACCTAATCCAAAGGGTCAATGTATCTAGGAGGCGTTGAAAGGGTATAGGTGTATCGCCATTGCCATCAAGTTGCAACAATGGCCGCAATGTGCGCTTAACAACGTGTTGGCCGGCTTGTCAGTGTCCAAAGAGCTCGAAGCTACTACAGTGTGCCTAGGTGATACTGTCAAAGCCTCGTTGGCATCGTCTTCGAGAAATCTCAAATGCACATGCTGTGTTTGCTGCAAGATCTTCCCGATGTCGTCGTTTCTTGACCTCTTCGGTAAGCATTTTACATGCCTGAATTACGGCAATTTGCGCATTTTTAGCACTTTCTTCTTTGTCTCCCCACCGCGTAGTATTCTGAACTGGACCGCTGCATCAAGCATGGCAAGTGAGAGTAAGTTTTATTTGTAATGCGATTTATATTATCGTCCGCATAAACTGTTGAGGTCACAATTTTATTTATGCGATGACAGTACGCTGTAGGTAACTATTCAGTGATTTATAGGTGTACTGCTTTTGTCAGCCACGTGTGTTGACTGACACCGCGATCGTAAAGCCCATGGCTGATGTGCCTCAAATGACTACATACCGGCGCGTGCGCTTTGCTGTGCAGAACAATCTAAATGAGATACTGTTGGCTGGAGAAACAAATTCGCTCTTAATTAATGCCTCCAGTTTTCACTGCGCTGTTGATGGCACAGTAACTCTGCCGGCCTCATTGTCCAACCCTGTTGCTGGGCTTAGTTGTCGCACACTTTCCGCGCTTGAATTTCTGTATGCAGATGTGAGCACTGACGACGCTCTCATTCAAGTATTAACAGCCCTTCAGGTGATCGCGGGCCTTGCACTTACAGTTCTGTTGAGGAGCCGAGCTCTCCACGAGGCAGCAAATTTACTCAAGGAGAGCAAGCAAATGCACTCTCGTTCAAAGAAAGGTTGCAGGTTTGGTGCATAGAGAGAGACGTACCACATGTTACTGTCACAGGTTTATTGCGGGTTTTGCGCTCGCACACTTGCTTTTCGAGCTTCCCGAAAACTGCTAGGGCACTTCTATTAACGCCAAGGTCAGCAGAAGATGTTAGACCAATGGGTTCAAGCCAATATTGTCATTTTGGTTTGAGTGAAAGTCTTCAGGATGCTTTAAAAATTGTTATGTTTGTGCCAGACCCAGTCATTCTTCATATCAATGTAGATGGACTTCTTTTGACCAAAAGCACTCGAGACCAGTTTTGGCCCATTCTTTGTAGAGGAGCAAATTGTGAAGGCAGTACACCATTTCCAATTGGTATTTATTATGGACAGTCCAAGGCTTTAGAGCCAAATGTCTTCCTGCATCAGTTTCTGTTGGATATGAAAGCAGCCCTACATGAAGGTGTTTTTGTGAAAGACAGGGTTATCCGTGTGAAACTTCGGGCAATAATTTGTGATGCTCCAGCTAAGGCTTATATTCTTGGCACTAAGAGCCACAGTGGTTACTTCAGTTGTCCTAAGTGCACAACAGAAGGAGACTATAAGCATGGTCATATGTGCTTCCCCGAACTTGATGCTCCATTGCGAACGGATTTGGATGCAGGTCAAGAAGATCACCACCTTTCGGATACAATGCTCAAGGAGCTTCCAATAGACTTGATTAAGCAGGTGCCTCTTCACTACATGCACCTTGCATGTCTAGGTGTCGTTCGTAAGCTCTTGCTGCTATGGATGAAAGGGGAGAAAACTTACAGAATTGGGAAAAAAAAATCAAGAGAGAGTGTGTCTGGAGCAAACACTGAAATACAGCACTATGTGCCATCAGAGATGTCCCGAAAGCCCAGAAGCCTTTCAGATATTGACAGGTGGAAGGGTTCAGAATTCAGTCTTTTTTTGCTCTATACTGGTTCAATGGTCTTAAAATCAAATGTACCTCACCAAGCGGCAGATAATTTAATGGCATTGCATACAGCCATGAGCATTCTGTGCAGTCCGCTGTCATGTGCCGAGCACCTGGAGTATGCAGAGAAATTGTTAGTGCACTTTGTTAATGTATTCATTAATATATATGTCAATCACACTGTTTCACTAAATGTTCATTGTCTGTTGCACATCAAAGATGATGTTCGAATTCATGGACCTCTGCATGGATACAGTGCTTTTCCTTTTGACAACTACATGCCTAGGCTCAAAAAATATGTCAGAAAGCCTGAAAAGCCTCTTCATCAGCTTTACAATAGAATTATGGAAGAGCGAGCATTGGCTGGCATAGTAGGCAGATCAGAAAGTTCTGTTGCTAATAATCCAAGCAATGGGAACTTCACAGAAGCTCAAAAGCTGCTTTTAAGGCATGATAATGGACCGCTTCCACTAGGTTGTGTAGGACCTCAATTCAAAGGTTTCAAGTTCTCTCAATATGTCACTATAAAAGTGAACAAGAAAGACTGCACGTGCATGTTACATGATGATAGTGATGTCAAAGTGAGAAATTTGCAATTTGTTATGTAGCCTAGAGCCTGTGCTTATTGGGAGAAAGTATCAGAAATTGGAAGACCTTTACACTTATCCATGCAACTCCTCTTTCATGAACATATTTTTAGCTTCCAAGTTTTCAAAGCTCTGCTTCTGGCCTGTTTCGGATATCCCACTGAAATGTGTCAGGCTGCCTTTCAGGAGGAAAAATGCTGTATTTCAAATAATACACCTGCAGTGATATTTGTTAAAGTTCTATTTATGCTTTGTAATTTTACTTCATGCCCTTCAACTAGCTGCTTCTAACTTTATATTATTTTTAAAAGGCATGCGTTCATACTTGTCTGAGACGGTCTCTTTCTTTCCAAGCTCAGCAGCCTGCCATTATCAGAAGTGTGGCTGCAGTTAGGTTCTTTCTGTCCTGTACGGAACTTTACTACATTTAGTATATTTAACCTATTATATAAGCTTTTATGTAACCTTGAGCTACTAGGAACAAAGGAAAGCATGGAATGAAGCTGCATAAACTAGTTGCTGTTTGTACACCCTTCTCTTTTGTATTCCTTGTTGCTTTTCTTAGATGTCTCATTTGTGTGTTTTATTATGTCTTGCTTCTTCATGTATCTTGAGTTGGCAGATTTGCCATGGTAGAATTCCCTGAAGAAGACGACAGCTTGGCTGTTGTGCATGCGTCGTGGCTTAATGAAAGTAGAAATCAAATGCATTGGCCAATCATAAAAAGTTCTAGAAAGCTTCGTCGCGCCGTCACCGAAAGAGCACACACCATCACTCACCTGACTGGGAGCAAACCAATTGTGTGGTGAAAGGCTGGGCTGGTATGATTGCACTTATGCTTCTTGTGTTCCCTGCACTCACTAATTTGTATATTTTTCAGAAACTTATGAGAAGGTATCAGAAATTCAACAACATTTGGAATACTATTCGGAAATGAGCAAGGAGGAAGAGTTGGGCCGAGGTAAAAGAAAAAAAAAACTGCCTTGCCTTGTGACTAAGACAGCCAACATGAGACAGATAGTTCAGGTGAAGACCACAGCTACAAACCAACGAAACCACCAAAACCACCTAAAATGATGAAAAAAAATGGTATGAAACAAGTTCTCTTATAGCTGTTTGTGTGTGTGCACACACCCTAAATGTTGAGATTGAGTTGCTATTAATAATCATATATACTAATAATTAGATATTTTTGCATTGTTCTATGACTGCAAACCTTCTGTCTTCTTTAAATATTGCATTATAACTCTTTTAACAGCACAAAGCAAATGTGTATAGGTTAATAGCTTTGTCTTGAAATTAATTTTCAGATGCCTATAATCGGGCATCTTCTGGAATGCCCAAAAAACCTGGACAACAAAAGAAATATTTTAAAGGTTTGTTGTGCATGTTTTCACAGTAACTGACTTATAAACGTTGAAAAAAATTAGAATTGTCAAATGCATCTCTCATGTAAACGTTGCTTTAACCATTTGTAGTGGGCTGTAAACATGGAGCATTGCTCCAGGCAAGAGTGAATTGCCCTCAGTTTATACCCGGTACCAAATCATTTGCTCATATTGTGACACCACTTGTAAAAAAAAAGTCAGAACTTATGTTCACAACACTCACAGCAGGACACATTCATTTCATTCTTTTATTCAGTTGCATTAATGAGTCTCGCTGCTTGTGATCAGCCAACAGGTTATTTGAAGACAAGGGCATGACCCAGTCTTTGTGCTGGTGAATACAATATATATTTTTTGAGATTCTAATTATGGTATTTACCCTTTTGAAACAAAAAGCTGAGACATGTATGTCAGTGTTTCTCCTACAACTCTACGAAGCAGCAGGGCCTGTTGCTCAGTCACTTGGTGTATATTGGCAAGTAGTGCATCGTCTTGCTCCCCTGTATATTTTTTTTATTGCATGTTGCTTTCCTTTTTTAACGAGCAGTTAAGTAGTTTCATGCCATTGAAATTATCAACTAGCCTAATCTGTGCCAAGTGTGGTTTACTTCGAAACACATGTAGCACATTTGTGATATCTACTGTTGCTCATTGATATTCTTTTGGCGTGTGTGACCTGTGTACAGATGTTCATGCTCTTTTTTCTTTTTTTTCAGCTGCTTCTGGTAGTTCTGGTCCTGAGATGCAGCATGAGCATTTTCAGTTTCGTGTTGGTAAATGCCACTCGTTAATCATATTAGTAAAGCAAGCTAAAAGTAGACATTTCTGCTCATGAGCAAGTAATTGCGAAGCAGGCGTCACTCCTAAAAGGGCAGAGACGCAAAAGCGCAGTCATCATTCTTGAACTGGTATAGCGCATTACGGGGAAGAAGAAACGGCCGAGCAGACCGACACAAGAGGACAGAGCGCTAACCTCCAACTGAGCTTTATTGTCAAACTGCATCAAATATGTAGACCGGCGCAAGCATACAAAACTACCCTAAAGCAACGACAAGATTACACATAACATCGCACCGTCACATATCGCAGATTCATAGGCGGTTATCCTGATTAAGGAAGGCCACTTCATGTTCAGATAAAACCAAAGAAGGGGCGCTAATACACGTGCTGCCAGCTCTTGCTATACAATGCGCTTCTATAATTTCCAGAGTTAATTGTGACGGGTGCTTTTTTACCACTTCACATTGATCAAACATGGGGGAACATCCACAATCGCGGCAGTGAATTCCAATGTGGCCCTGGATTGCTTTGTGAACATTATAATGGTGCTATTTTAGCCTTTCATTAAGGCAGCGCCCCGTTTGGCTGAAATACCACTTGTCGCATGAGAATGGAATCGTGTAAACAACCCCCGCTACACACGGCACAAACCGAGTTTTGTGCTTGGTTGCGCAACCAGTGGTACGTGATTTGAGAGGCTTGACTGCTTTGCAAAGCCGCTGTAACTTATCCGGCGCTGAAAACACCACTTTGACGCTGCATTTCTCCCCTATCTTTTTTAGCCGGTGGGAAATGTCATGCACGTAGGGTAAAACTACGGGTCTTTTTCAGTCGTTAGATTCTAGTTGAGCCTCGGAGTTGCAGCCTTTCTTTATCTGTTTTAATAGCTTTTCAGCTATAGATGCCAGTAGGATAGCTGGGTACCCAGCACTCAAAAGCCTTTCAGTTTGAGCTGCCAAGCTGCGCTGCATAACATGATGACACGATTTCCTAAGAGGATTGATGAGACAAAGATTTGTGATGCTTCGCTTAACTAACTTGGAATGGGAAGAGTCATAGGGTAAAAGGGGTTTTCCATTTCTAGGTTCAAATAGCCAGCACACATGGTCAGGTGAAAGAATTAAATTCAAATCTAAAAAGCGTAAGCTGTTGTCAACTCGCAACTCGTGAGTCAATAAAAGCGGTTTAAAAGATTCTTTAAAAGTCATTACAATACCGTTGGTTAGGTGCTGGCAGGCAGCGTCGCTGCAGTCGATGAAAATTAAAAAGTCGTCTACGTAACGACATATTTTGGTGACAGTATTTTGGTCAAGCATGCTCATCAGCAACCGGTCATGATATGCAAGGTATATGTCCCTAAGGATCGGGGCGAGGCATGACCCGATGCAGACACCACTATTCCGTATGTATTTACGATCATTAAAAGATACAAAAGTCGACTTGATATAAAAAGACAGAAGCTCTAAGAGGTTACTGTTATGGACACCCGTGAGATTCTGGAAGGCTACAGCACCAAATGAGTCAATGGCATTGTCAACACACTGTAACAACTTCTCATGCGGCAAAGAGTAATACAAATCCTTTATATCGACCGAAAGTGCTTTTAAGCCCCTGTCGTTATGTTCCAGAAAGTTAACCAAAATGTCCGAATTCCTAATTAAAAAGGGGTCATCGATGGTGAGCAAATTGAGTTTTTCTTGCAGAAATAATGCCACATTTTTTTGCCATGTTCCTCTCTCTGTCACAATTACCCGCAGAGGGCAATCGACCTTGTGTGTTTTGGCCGTAAAGAACACATAAAGGCTAAGCTTTTTGCACTTATCCACTGCTTTGGCAAGTTTTTCGAAACCCAAGGTGGCACACAGCTTTTTTGCTTGGGATTTAACTTTGCTGAGGGAAGTGTCATCCTCAGCTCTGAAGACGGAATGAACAGCTGTGGTCGCTTTCTCAATAAATAAAGAGTTCGCTAAAACGACAAAACCTCCCTCTTTGTCAGAAGGTAACAGAGCTAGTGAATTGTCTTTTAAGTGTTCCACGACTTTCTTAAATTGCAGTTATTTGGTCGAAGGCATGAAACGCGAAACCACATCAACGCCATCGGCAACACACTTGTCCCTTTCACCCCCAGGAATCTGTCGAGCTACTTGCCTGACGTAGGTGAGCAGATTGTACGGCGAATTGACTGGTTCCGTGGCGAACTTCGGTCCGCGGCACAATACGCGTCGAACCGCTTCAGGGAGCACAACACCACCCAGAGTGTGTACAGGGTTGCTCGTTGCAGTCACCTTCATGGGGGTCATGGCACGAAGGTGGAAGAGAATATGCTGCCACAGGTACTCCGCTCTTCGGTCAATTGAAGCAGACAGTTCTCGCCACTTCATTTTCGCCTTGATGATGCCTTCGGCTGTCTGGAGTTTGAGGCGTAAAGCATCCCTGTAGAAGCGAGCCTGGCGCAACCACTCGGCGCGAAGAATCTTACAGATTCTCGTTCCGTGACCGGCAGACGGTGTGAAACCTGCTAGGAGCGCTTTTACATTGGGTGGAAGGATCTTGACTCGAATGAAGTACGCAAAAGAACGCGCACGACACACGGCGAGCGCGACAAGGTCACCAATGAATGCTTCTACAGGGATGCTTTACACCTCAAACCTTTACACCTTTACACCTCAAACCGCTTTTATTGACTCATGAGTTGCCAGTTGACAACAGCTTATGCTTTTTAGATTTGAATTTAATTCTTTCACCTGACCATGTGTGCTGGCTATTTGAACCTAGAAATGCAAAACCCCTTTTACCCTATGACTCTTCCCATTCCAAGTTAGTTAAGCGAAGTATCACAAATCTTTGTCTCATCAATCCTCTTAGGAAATCGTGTCATCATGTCATGCAGCGCAGCTTTGCAGCTCAAACTGAAAGGCTTTTGAGTGCTCGGTACCCAGCTATCCTACTGACATCTACAGCTGAAAAGCTATTAAAACAGATTAAGAAAGGCTGCAACTCCGAGGCTCAACCGGAATCTAACGACCGAAAAAGACCCGTAGTTTTACCCTACGTGCATGACATTTCCCACCGGCTAAAAAAGATAGGGGAGAAATGCAGTGTCAAAGTGGTGTTTTCAGCGCCGGATAAGTTATAGCAGCTTTGCAAAGCAGTCAATCCTCTCAAATCACGTACCACTGGTTGCGCAACCAAGCACAAAACTCGGTTTGTGCCGTGTGTAGCGGGGGTTGTTTACGCGATTCCATTCTCATGTGGTAAGGGGTATTTCGGCCAAACGGGGCGCTGCCTTAATGAAAGGATAAAAGAGCACCATTATAATGTTCACAAAGCAATCTAGGGCCACATTGGAATTCACTGCCGCGATTGTGGATGCTCCCCCATGTTTGATCAATGTGAAGTGGTAAAAAAGCACCCGTCACCATTAACTCGGGAAATTATAGAAGCGCATTGTATAGCAAGAGCGGGCAGCACGTCTATTAGCGCCCCTTCTTTGGTTTTATCTGAACATGAAGTGGCCTTCCTTCATCAGGATAACCGCCTATGAATCTGTGATATGTGACGGTGCGATGTTGTGTGTAATCTTGTCGTTGCTTTAGGGTGGTTTGGATGCTTGCGCCGGTCTACATATTTGATGCAGTTTGACAATAAAGCTCAGTTGGAAGTTAGCGCTCTGTCCTCTTGTGTCGGTCTGCTCGGCCGTTTCTTCTTCCTCGTGATGCGCTATACCAGTTCAAGTACGACGAACCAACTCGCCCAATCTTCAACACTCGTGGCCGTCATTATTGTTTGTTTCGTGTGCCACTTTTATAAATATCTGTGCTTGTAGTGCATATGCATAGACATGCAGACTTTTTTTTTTGTTGCCCTCAGCTGCTCCCACGAACCCGGCAGCAGGACAACACCTGGAAGCCATGAACCCCAGACGTCGTGCTTGTAAATATTAAGTTTTTCCTCATTCTTGGCATGATTCTAGCTTTGATAATGCAATGAAGTCTTGGTAGACAGACTATAGGGAGCTTGCACAAACAGTGGTGATGCTATGCACTCTGGGTAGACAGCCATTTTTTTGTTAGAAGCGACCGGAGAGCACGGTAGTGCAGGTTTGTTGTTTGTTAACGTTGGTGTAGCTTGCAGGTGCGACCGAGTGCGATGCAAATTTGACTCCAAGGTGTGTCATCCACGATGTCAACAATACCGAAGACTACTCTGCAATGCTGTGCCAAAAAGACTGCTGGTACAAAAAAAAAAAAAAAGACAAGACTGCGGACTGGACTGGACACAGTCACGCTTTGTGTGCGGGTGACTGTGGAAGCAACATGGACTTGTGGCCAAGCGTTGACAGCTCGGATATTCAGGAATTTCTCGATCTGAGGATGAGTTTTATTACCCAAGAGCTCTTGAAGTCAAGAAAAACGCTCGAGGATCACAACATTATGATGAGTGGCTGGGTGCGAGAGCTGTCATCGGCAATGAGGAAGTGTTGTCTTGATGAAAAGGTAAACACAGTCGTGGAAGTCAATTTTGTGATGCGACTGTGTTAACCGACTTGTCTCGCCCAGGAACAAGACCTCGACGGGGCACTTGTTAATGCTCTAGGAGTGCTAACTTGGACAATAACAAACAATAGTATCTATGGCAAAGTCAAATAATTTAATACGTCTTACTTGGGTGACGACAATCGTGGTGTCAGTGGAGACTTTCTTCGCTTACGGCTCCCACACCAGGCCAGCTGTTACAGAGTTGTGGCCCCCGAAGGCCTCTTTCAGCTTGAACAGCTCCTCCCAGGTAATAAAACTTATCAACTGGAACAAGAAATTCCTGAATATCTGAGCTGTTGATGCGTACCCACAATTCCACGTCGCTTACACAGTCATCTGCACACGAAGCGTGAATGTGTCCAGTCCGCAGAGCCCTTTTTCTTCGCACTGTTCGCGGTCTTTTCGGCATAGCATTGCGGAGTAGTCTTCCGGTGTCGCTGAAATCGTGCACGACACACCTTAGAGTTAAATTTGCATCGCACTCAATCGCACCTGCAAGCTACGCCAACACTGGCAAATACGTGTGCGTTACCTGGCTACTTCTCACAAAAAAATGGCTGCATGCCTAGAGTGCATAGCGTCACTGCCATTCATGCAAGCTCCCTGTAATTCTGTTGTTCACCATTTTCTTGTGTGTGAATTACATATGCATACATTCAACCTTTGTTTTTGTTCTCAGCTGCTCCCGTGAGCCCTGCCGAAGGACACCAGCAGGAAGACAGTGTATTTGGGAGCACACACCCCAGAAGCCCTGCTTGTAAATACCAGTTCTTAGTCATTCTTAGCATGATTTTAGTGTTGATAAAGCAACAAGTAAATGGCATATCTGTCCCTTGAATTTGATTTAACCCTGTCTTAGCAGACACAAGCCAACCTTTATTCCTGTTCAAAATTTTGTTTGTGTGTGCAGTATGTTTGCACACATGCAGCCTTTGTTTTTTTTGCCCTCAGCTGCCTCTGCGAGCCCTGCAGCAGGACAGCAGCTGGAAAATGTGAACCCAAGACGTCACACTCGTAAATACCAAGTGCTTTGTCATTCTTCGTGGCATGACTGTAGTGTTGATATAGCAATAAGTAGTCTTGGAAGACTACCTATGCTTTTCTTTTCACCATTTTATTGTGTATTTGTAGTTGCAGTGCGTATGCATACATGCAGCCTGTTTTTGTCCTCAGCTGCCTCTGTGAGCCCTGGTCTCGGATACCTGATGAATAGCCAACTAGACGAAAGTATGTGCCTTAGAATACACGGTCATAAATACAGAGTTATTTGTCATTCTTTGCATGATTGTAGTTCTGATAAAGGAATAAGTAAAAACAGTCATTTTTGATTACTAGTGTATTATTATGAAACAAATTCAACCGCTCTTACAGAAACAGGCAGGCAACAGCACGCCAAGGGAAAGTAGCTAGATTTGGCCTTTCTCTAGGTCCAATTTTGTCATAATTCTTGATGGCAGTACACTATTTAATTATGAGGTGAAAAATGGCCTACGGATTGCAGAAAAGTTTTGAGTGGAACATTTAGTCCAATATTACCATTCCCCCGCTGCCCTTAATGCATTGTCTTTCTAATTTCAGCTTCATCTGCCACTTCAGCAGTGCTGACCGGTCCACAGATGTTTGGTATGATGCCTGTATTTGAACTCTCACGGCTGCTTTGATATTTTAGGCCTAATGTGTTTTTAAAGTTGCTGAATTGCGAACAGCTTGATAGAATATAGATATATGGGGTGCAGTTTTGCAAATCGCAAAACAATGCCCTCTGTTTTTGCCAGCAAGTTTTTCTTTATCATTGTCAGTTTTTGTTTAGTATGTTATTTGAAGGGGCCCGGCAACACTTTTCCAGGATGGTCAAAAAGCGCTGCCGATCGGTAGTCGAGGCTTCCAAGGGCACACGAGCCAAATATAGTGAAGCACACGTCCTGAAATTTACTATAAATTCCCCAATCAGCTTAAAATCGCTCGCTCTTCTCTCGAGACATGATGCCCTCAACTTATTGTGTGAACTATAACAGCTCCACCGTTGACTCATTTGAGCATGATGCCCTTTTAGTTGCTGCAGCCATGACGTGCCCGAAGGCGTGCTCATGCACGTGTACGCAATAAAGACCATGCATTTGAAAAAAGAAAAAAATGTGCTCAAGGCGTGCTTGACGTACTTCCTTTCCCCATGCAAGCCCCCCGAGCTTAGCTTTCAGTGTTTTCGTTGTGTTGAGGAAAAAGAGAGAAATTTTTATAACTTTGCTCGTACTAGGCGAATTCTAAAAATGTTTGCGGTGGTCGATTCCTGAGGCAATCAGCGTTCATAGTGAAGCCATTCTATGACTGCTTGGAAAAGTGTTTCAGCACCCCATTAACTAGCTTAGTTCTAAAAGGCTTTACGCAGACTTTACACAGATGCATTCAATTCATTCTGCCCAAGTGCAACCAGCACTAAGTGTGATGAAGCACTAATATTTCACTTGTTTGATATAAATATTGCAGTCATCTTATCAATGATCTTAACCTGAGTATAATTTTATAGCTTTTATGGAAAGAGTGCTGTCCACTCTCAACCAAATAAAGATAGTGCAGCGGACTCAGACTCAGCTGCTTGCAGAACTGAGAAATAGGTCAGAAGGTTGAGGTGCGGAAGAGAGGAGCCAGCTTCCCAACCTGCCCTTCAAAATGGTTCGCAATTTAATGGAGTGGGATGAGCAAATGGCAACGAACAAGGAAGGAAAGGTTCAAATGGTAATACAACTACTTGAATTAATTGGTACACAATTTTAAGTAAAATATCTTCTATCCAAGTTCTACATTAACCATTGTCTCGGTTAAAATGTATTGCATCTCATAAGGGCATTTCTGTACTGAGCTTCGCAATTATCTCATATTTTCTGAAAAAGCACATGATTCAAGGTGGGTACAGTGTAAGACAGAAAACAACGAGAATATTGAAAAGTTTCATGACATGGGACCAAGCAAAACAATTTTCCTAGGTTGGTGCGAGGGGAAAAAAAGTTCAACGAATTGAACATCTGCCAAATTTTCTGTGGTAAGCCTACATGCCACTTTAATTTCCTCTGTTATTTTGATAAGATTTCGTCAACCCCTTAAAATATTTTTGTTTCACAGCGTGCTTGACTGCTAATGCAAACAACCAGGCAGAGGCAATGCTAAAGAATGTTGAGAAGGCAGCGATGACTTGGTTCCCCCATGCTGCTGAGAGAGCAGCAGCGGGCCAACGAAGAGTACCTACCAACGAAGACGAAGCTGGTTATTGATAGTCACAACAATAAATAATTTTTCTGGTCACTTGATGTTCAATTACTCGATTTCTGAATAATTGGCTAGATTTTAAGTGATATATTTATTCGTGCTAGAAAGAAGTGTGGTGATTGGATGAGGAATATGCTTTTCTGTAGGGTAACTGGCTCCCTCAAGTGAAGGCAGGAGGGGGGGGGGGGGGGGGGTCGTGGATGGCCCACCTTTTCGGAAAGTTTCTAAAGTATGAGCGTAGCCAGAAATTTTTTTCGGGGGGAAGGGGGGGTTCGTTCATACGTTTTGCATGCTCATGCTTGTGTTTTGTTATGTGGGTGTATATATACACAAGCAAAATGAAAAATGGAGGGTTTGATTCCCTGGCTAAGCCCCTGTGTCCCGATAACATCCCAAACACTTCCTATTTGAACATCCCAAACGGTTGCAATGTGGGACATCCCATATGGTTCTTTTTTGTAACACTTGGGATGTTTACCCATCTTGTGTGGGAAGTCCTTAGGATGTCCCGAACTCCCAAAAAGGAAATCATTTGGAAGTCTTTTGGACGTCCTTGCGTTGTCTAGGAAGACAATGTCCAAAGGCAAGATACTAGAATTTGTGCCCGGCACCGACTGGTCGTCATGAGTAGAACGCCTGGAGATATACTATGAAGCCAACGACATACCTAGTAGAATCGGCCAAGAAGCGAGTGATGCTTCTCACACTTTGTGGTGAGCAAACCTACGAAACACTGAGGGCCCTGATGGCTCCACAAAAGCTTTCCGAGGTGGACATCATCAAGCTACTGACATAGCACTTCGATCCCAGGCCGTCTGAGTTCCTTGGACATTATCGCTTCCAGAAATGAGACCAACTTTCGAACGAGTCCGTCGAAGATTATGTAACAGCCTTGTGAACCTTGGCAAAAGACTGCAACTTTGGCAATCTAGACTACACGACAGCGGGACGGGAGGCTTAGCGCGTAGGTCCAATCAACTCAGTGAATCGCTAATATCCTGTCAACATATAAATAAGATTGATACGTCTACGCCTATCGATAACATCTAATCGACATCCTCATAATGTACCATCCTTAGAGTCTAGAGAGCCTAAGTATTATTAATGTCGTATGCACTTCTCTCTTAGACAAAAACTAGACGTCGCAAATGATGTCGCATACACGTGCTCGCAACATCAAATACATCGCCGAACTTTGTCTTCTAAAACCGCTTTAGTTGACGTTTAAAATGATAAATATATACTGGCAGGTAAAATCTAGAAAGTACTCGAACATAAATGGGCAGGTATTATTCGAGCGTGCGTAATGTGCGTACACTTATATGCGTAATGAGATAAAGCACGCGAACGACCATAAAATTTATATGTGTGGCATTAGTGTTGCCGTACATGATAACGCGAAATTATGCAGCCTGAAGGTGGTTTTAAGTGTGAATCACTTTAGGGGCCTGGGCTGTCGTCGCTTGGTGTAATGCAAGCAAAACTACATAAAACACAAAAGATAATGCAAGGGCGAAAAAGAAAGACATGGAGAAAGAAGAAATAAGAAGAAAATTGATTGATATGTGGGGTTTAATGTCCTAAAACCACCATATGATTATGAGAAACGCCGTAGTGGAGGGCTCCGAAAATTTCGACTACCTGGGGTTCTTTAACGTGCACCCAAATCTGAGCACACGGGCCTACAACATTTCCGCCTCCATCGGAAATGCAGCCGCCGCAGCCAAGATTAGTTTTGTATACCGGATCTAGCCTAAACATTGTCAAAACGAAAAAAAAACAGTTTCAGGGCACTTTAAATATGGTAGTGTAGCATAGTCACTTCATGCTGTCATCATTGCAGTCAAATTATATAAACATGACCAGTATAACAAGGGTACTATATAATTTGTTCAAGTTACTCATAAAAACAGTACTAAAAATTTGGAGGCTTCTGCTTCAATGCACTCCTGCTTTTTTTTTTCTCCAGTCAGCAAGGTTCAAAAGGCTAAATCTGCATCCAGAAGAAGAGACACTCTGAAACATATATCCTTGACAACAAAATGGTCATTATGACATAGAACATGGTGTCTCAATCGACCAAATTTCTCTCCAAAGCAAGAAATGCTGGGCTCGTAGCATGATCACACTTTCTTGCCAAGGCATAAAGTTGATCTAGTATTCATAATTTATCAAGCTTTAAGCATTCTAGATCCCTTCATCGACCTCAGAAATGATTGGACGTACACACACACTGCTTCACAATCACTTGGGTGGCAGCAGTGAAAAAGGAAAGGCGCGTGCTAAACTGAATTTCTATGTTTTACAGTGTTTCTTGCCTGGCGAGGTTTTGGCAAATGTTGTGACACGTGCTGAAGAGTAGCCGGGGACCGGCTGCGCAGGACATTGCGTGGAACGTTCAGTCTGCGTCAACTGTATCAGGAATCGCTGGTCGCCAACCTACACGTGTCTGTAAAGCTGTTGTCAGCAAGCCCTGTGCAAAGGACACCTCACGTGACCACGACACCCCCCTGCCCTCCTCCAGCTTAAAAAGAAAGTTTCACTGACACCGTCTTGGGCAGCAGCAGCGGAACAGGAAAAGCCCGTGCTAAACTGCATTTCAACGTTTTCCAGGTTTGTGAATGGCATATCTTTTGTATTATTTTTCAAGACACTCTACACTTAACTGTGCCCTACACGGTTGCCCACGAACTTGTTGCCATGTGTACTGTTACTGATGTATCTTACTTTGAGTGTGGCTTGTCTGTTGGTTCTGATGATGATTGCATGATATGCAGTGATTGCCTCAGTTTATGCCACTTAGGAACTTGCTCTGGCATAAGTGAAAGAATATTTAAAGGTAAATCCGATGAAATGTAAGAACAGTAGTGTAGTCCCACATGCATAGGAATATGGGTAAAAAAGGTTATCAATCACCCAAATGTCCTAGCTATTGCAGAGTTAACAGAGACAGTGAAAAAAGATACTGTTGCTCATATCGAGCTCATTGTTCAAATGCTGTCTGACAAGTATGATGGTGTACTGACAGCCATTAAGAAACAGGATAGCAAGTTGTCAGATGTGAAAGGGAAAAATCATTCTGCAGAACCAAGCTCGAACACTAAAGGAATTCGAGACACAAAATGTGAACTGAATGAACTAGAGCCGTATAACAGAGAGGTAAATATGGAGTTTCATGAGATTCGTAAGACTGAGCATGGGAACTTGCTGCGTCGATTGCGATGCCTGCTCTGACAGAAAATGATGTTACTGCAATACACTGCCTTCCTTCAGAAGGGGACAAACCCCAAGCATCATTGTACATTTCTCACGAGAGTCAGTTCGAGACAGCTCGCTACATAGTCGCAAGAAGCTCAGGGATGCCACTTCTGAAATGATGATTCAAGAGAACTTATCCAAAGAAACGCGAAGTCTACATTAGGAGGCAAAACAATGGGCACGAGAGAAAGACGTCCGTTTTGTGTGGTGTGCGATTTGCAAGGTTTTAATGAGATGCGAAGATGGTTTTCATGCCGTTCTTGTAAAGAGAAGGGAGGATTTGGTAAAAATGGCTTGAAACATAAGAACCATTTATAACTTTACTTTTTAGAAACCATGTTCATTTTATTATCAGATCTGGATATATACATCAGAGACAACTATATGCCCTGCATAAAATTTTCCAGCTAAACTGCCAGTCCGCGAGAAACAAATATGCATTGCTAGATTCTTTGTTTTCAAAGCTTCATGTCTGCTTTGACATCATAGTGCAAACTGAAACTTGGTACACGAATGATGGCAGCTCATTTTGTATGTCTAGTTATAATGTGTTCTGTGATATCCATACACACAGTCATGGTAGTGATGTTTGCTTACTTATAAAGGAAACCTTTGATTGTGAATGCTTAACAGAATTTTGTTGTCAAGAACCTGATTGTGAAATGCTGACTGCTGTCCTAGGCAATTAGGCCTTATTCGTTATGTACTGTCCTTCATTTGGAAGTATTAAAACTTCCACGGCTTGTTTGGAGAACTTATTTCATATTGCTATGCTGTATAATTATGTAACTGTCTGTGGCGGTGACGTTAATGTTGACATGCTGTCTAATGAAACATTTATACATGAGGTGACATGTTTGTTTAGTAGCTTTGGATTGTCTAACACGATTGATATGCCAACAAGGGTTGTTGCCGATTTATCTACATTATTCGATGTGTTTCGCAGGAACTTTAGTTCTGAGAATATTAAAACTGGGACCATTTCATGTGACATAAGCGATCACCTTCCCATATTTTTAGTTATCACGCAACAAATAAAAAACAAACAACTTTCTATACCATTACGTTCTATAAAAACCAAAAGTCCTGAAACTTTTTGTCACAAACTAGGTCGTGCGTCCTGGAACGATGTTCTTGTAAATGACCACCCGAACAGTGCTGTCAATACAATTATAGAAAAATTGAAGGAATTATATGACCATAACTTCCCTTGGACTAACCCCCACCCATCTAAAACAATTAGGAAGTCATGGATCATACAGAACCTGTCGCATCAAACTAATGAAAAGAATGTAACATATAATGCATTTCTAGCTTCTCATGGTGCACAGCTACTTGGCATCTTCAAAAAGCTTTGTAATCCTCTAAATAAAACATCCAAAAGGCTAGACCAAACTACTTTCATAACATTTTTATGCAATCAGTGGATGATTCTGCTTCCACTTATAAAAACATCAATAAAGTGTTAGGAACACCCAACTCAAATAGCATAATTATAGAAATTAGAACTAATTGTTGTGTTATTAGAGGTAGTGACCTATTTAATACCTCCAACGATTATCTAGTAAACGTAGCTTCCCCAGAAACATCTCTTTATGTAACGTCACACGTTTCAAAGGAATGCCCAAGTCACACTCAGTGAGACATAACACAATCATGTAGCTTATAAATAGTATAGTATAGTATTATTTTCGAATCAAATCAATAAATATGCCATAAAAATAATTTTCCAACCACTTTCTTTCAAGTCGTTAAGCTCTGCCTGGAAAAAGGATATTTTTCTGCGATACTTCAAACTGCTAAAGTGTGCACTTTGTAAAATAAGGAAGACAAATATAATTAGGCAAACTATAGACTCATCTCATTTTTGGCAGTATCTTCTAAAATATATAAAAAATTCTTCATTCCCAGTTGGCAGAATTTATTAAGAAACATGATATGTTATGTGACACACAATACGGTTTCAGAAGAAATCGATTGCCTGATCAGAAAGAGTTCATTTTGAATAGCATAGAATGTAAACAACTAGTACTTGTGTATCTTAATTGATTTCAGCAAGGCCTTCGACTCTCAGAAGAGACAGTTACTTTTACATAACCTAGATTTATACGGTGTACGAGGTGTTGCCTTATACTTGTTTGACGCATACCTAAGTGAAAGGAAACAATACGTGTGTGTAAACAATTTTTTTCTGTAACGACTAAACCAAACTATTTCAGAGTGCCTCAAGGCAGTAGTTTAGGTCTGTCTATGTTTATTTTATATATAAATGACATTGTAATTGTAAATTTTTTAGCGAAATTCGTTAGTTTTGCTGATGATAAAAGCATATTTTTTGTACATGATAATACTGACTAGCTGACTGAAAGAGGAAGTAATATATTAGAGCAGATATATAAGTGGGCATGTTCCAATGGACTATTAATAAACGCAGAAAAAACCAAAGTGGTTATGTTTCGAGCAAAAGGCAAGCATGTACAAGTAACTTTTATGCTCTGTTTTATTAACAGTCTGATTTAAGTGGTAGATAATGTGAAAACATTAGGTCTCGTATTTTCAAACAGCATGCTATGGGACCCTCAAGTAGAGCAAGTAGCGACAAAAACGGCACGCGTATTTGGTATAATTTATCGCAAGAACTTTCTACTTCCATTAAAAACAGTACTTATTTATCATTCTTTGTTTATGTCCCATGTTAACTATTTCTTTATAGCTTGGGGTGATACAACACAAATATTGATAAGTTCAGTACACTTCCAAAGAGATTCCTAAAAATTATCGCTGAGAAAGAACCTTATCAATAAGTTATATACATGCAACAAAAATATATAGTCAGTTTTCAAAATCTTTATAATTACAACATTTGTATTGGTATGGAAAAACTTTATTTAGGTTTGTCGGGGTGTGAACTAGCACATAGCGGGCCGCTTCCACGTCGGGACGGATGAGCCTAACCTGTACGTCTGCCACATCGTAAGCCCGTTGGAGTGCCCATAACTGCATCTTTAAATCCGTACTCTGTAGTGCAGCATCCCACTTTGACAATGTAACGTTTTCAACCCTTAACGCAGGGCACCACCAGGGCATATGATCTAAGCTGGCAAAATCTGAGTGAAGCGTGCGTGTGTTTGACATCTGAATTGCTGGGTAAATTTTGTACAAGAGTGTGGAATTATGATATGCCCCAACCTGTAGGAGTCTGAGCGTCAATGCCTGAGGCCTGTTCAGTTTACTGCGTGGTGGCAGATACTTTCGCCTCCTCAGATAAAAGTTCTTGCAAAGTTCATTGTTCGTCGTTGGGGGATCTTGGTTGTCCAGAACCTTGTCATCACGCCGTTCAGTAGCTACGCGGTCGACGACTCCTCGCGCAGCTCTGTGGACCTTGTCATTGAGGTTGGACAAAGCACCCTCGATCTGTCCCGTGCGAGCTGGGAACCAGACGATTGTGTGTTGTTGTACCTCCTTATTTCGCAGGATCTGCAGGGCTGATTTCAAGATGGTGCCCCTACCGAATGCTAGGACTGCTGATGTCGAGTCACTGTATATTGTTGTTCTGCCATCTTCTAGCAGGGCCAATGCTATTGGGACCTGTTCGGCAAACTCGGTCATTGTGGTCCAAACCAACGAGGAGTTTGTAACAATGCCATCTTGATCAACAGGGACTGCAACGAATGCTTTTCGATTTGGGTACCGTGCAGCGTCAACGAAACAGCAACTCTGGGCATGTGCATGGGCACTCTCCAGGAGAGCTATAGCCCTAGACTGTCATCTGCCTACATTGTATTCAGAGTAGACATTCTGAGGTATGGGTGCCACAGTAATACGCTCGCTTTGTTCTTGATGAACACAGCAGTAGCTGGTATCGACTTATCTTGGGTGAACTCCAAGCTCTTTTGCGATGTTTCTCCCGGAACTGGTGATAGAAAGTCTCGTGAAATGAGCCCTCTCTTGTGACTGAGCTATTTTTGCCAGCGTCTTGTGCACGCCGAGGTGAAGCAGCCTTTCCCAGCTGGTATACATGGGAAGCCCGAGGGTTCTCTTTACCACTTTTCTTATCAGCGTGTTCGATTTGTCCCGCTTTAACCTCTCCCAGTTGTGCATTTCCGCTATGTAGGTAACGTTACACATCACGAAAGCATGCACCTACCTGATGAGGTGGCCCTCGCATAGTTCTTGCTACCGGTTAGCAACCCTTCTTATCAACCTCTGGGCATTGTCTGTTTTTCTTGTAAGCTTCAGTACAGTCTAGTTATTTGAACCGTCTTACTTAATCATCATACCCAGAACGTGAAAGGTGTCCACCCTTGGAATGATACCACCCTAACTTGTCCTTAGAATGATGTCGATGTCCTTACAGGCCTCTAACGTTTCGGTTTGGGGCCCCTGCACATGGGGCTGTGCAGTAGCAGCTCTGATTTCTGCGGTGAGCATCGGAGTCCAGTAGGTCCGAGATAATTTTCTGTGACCTCAATGACATCTTGAAGTGCAGCTTCCAAATGCCCATTGCTTCTTCCAGTGCACTATATGGTGACGTCGTCTGCATATACGGTATAATTAATGCTGTGAACCTCCGAGAGTTTTCTAGACAGATTTATTATGGTGAGGTTAAATATCCGCGACCCTTGTGGCGAATCTATAGTTTAACGAAGTCTGAAACGAGGGCTCCAAGTTTGAGGGTAGCTTCTCTGCCCGCTAAGAAGGATCTCGTGTAGTCATAAAAGTTATTTCCCAGACCAGGGCACGAGATCGTTCCCATAACATAGCAGTGTAGAATATTGTCAAAAGCCTTCTCCAAGTCAAGGCCAAGAATGACTGTCGTGTCTCTCAAGTTGCGATCGATGATCTGATTCTTGATCAGCTTCATGGCATCTTGAGAAGAAATCCCAGGTCTGAAGCTTATCATGTGGTAGGAATAGAGGTCATTGTCTTTCAAGTATCGGGAGAGCTTGTTCAGAATTGCGTGCTTGGTATCTTGCCCACACACCAAGTGAGCGAGATGGGCCTACGATTGTTGAGACTGGGGGGCTTTCCAGGCTTGGCAAAAAGGAAGACGGTGGCCTTTTTCTATAGTTATAGAACAT